AGTCTTCAACATTGACATGTTGTGTTAAAAACAACAATTTTTGAGTGTAACAGTGGATTCGCAAGACAACTTCTAATGTCGATGTTAAAACCCATTCATTCTTGTTGTATTTCTACTTCAAACAGCAAACCTTTTCATTAGCTTCGAAAACAACAGCCAGTTACACCAATTTGGGAAAACCTTGGCATTTACGGCGTCAAAAACACTTCACTTATCCCAACAAAGCACGTGCGAGTCGTGATGTTCTTGTTATAACTAGCATTTTCTTTTGCTGTTTATCACTTTTTTGCCCATAATCTGAAATTTAACAGCCACTCGCTATATTTGCCAAACCAGTGCTCGGTGTGTAGGCCTATAATTTCCACAAAAATGCCTCCTTTAATCAACTGCACACGAGTTGATTTATTTAAGACAATGAAAAGTTATTTCAGAAAATCTGGCGGTCAGCAATGTTTCGCCAATTTCATCGTGTGCTAAAATGAATGCAAGTTAACCCCTTACCTACAATGATCTACAAATTTATTTGTCCTTTGCCTGGAAGCCGAATTTACCTGCAATTATTCACGCTGAGGTGCATTTACCACTTGGAAAGTGGATTTAAAGCAAGCATTTATCATCCATTAGCGAGTCACATAGCCAAATTTTATGTTAGGGTTGTCTAAATTTCTGTTTTTCCTAAAAACAGCTTTAGCGGGATAGTTATTTGCAGATCATTACCGCTGATACCAGTTTCATTCGGTCGCATTTTGTAAACTACGTGCTTTGTCGATAATTTTATTTGACTAAATTGGTGTAAGTGGCTGTTGTTTTCGAAGCAAATGAAAAGGTTTGCCGTTTGAAGTAGAAATACAACAAGAATGAATGGGTTTTAACATCGACATTAGAAGTTGTCTTGCGAATCCACTGTTACAATCAAAAATGGTTGCCTTTAATACAACCTGTCAATGTCGAGGGCGCCTGAATTTCGCATTATTTTGTAGGTAGTAGCAGTAGTTGTTGTTGTTGTCGAAGTGAATCCTTGGCCAGAATAGCAAGTGAGTGTAGACAGTGGCGAATTTGGATGCGTTCCTTCCTTGGCCAAACCACTCCCCCAATCACCAACTGCACATTTCCACTACCAAATACGACCGATGAACCAGTTGGATATGCGAGATTAGAATTGGCGAAAGACAAAGACGTCGAACAGTCGCGGCTTCAGTTTGGAGTATTGGTTATGTGTGATCGATGAATTTGCAAGTTCGTTGTTGTGTAAAATGTTAAGCAAAATTATGATAGGAAATAATGCATCAACTGGCCCAAATGCTCACATACTTTTTGTTCACTTCACCTGTGCATATTCACAAGTATGATCCAGGAGATGTAGTGTGTAAAGACGTCACCTCGAAATTTCGTCTAATGTGTGAAATTTACCATTTTCTAGTCAGTAATTTAGCTTTTCAGGCACTATTTCCATGGCTCTGATAGGGCGTGTTTTGCTAAAAGCGATGTGCATTCGCTAGAAGTGAGATTGGACCTTAAACAATGTGCGTTTGAATCGAGAACAGTTAAAGTAGAAAATTAGTTTAAAATATTGGCCAATTTCATAAAATTACTTTTTGCAGACAACTTGGACAATATTCCACATGTCTAACTCCAGTTCGGTATAGATTCCGACACACAATTATCACGTGTCCAAACTACAGCCTTAAGTGTGTACCCGATCGAAGATATTGCGGATAGTTTACAATTTGATGGGGAAAAGTACTTAATTGCAAACCAATTTTTAGTAGGGAAAGAAGTGTTGTAAATTCACGTTGGTTCGCACTCGCTAAACCGGTCAATCCAGCCTCCTCAACTCCTCTCTCGTTAGCGCGAAAGATTATCTTAGATTATCCCCACACCTAGGTCTCGATGTCAGCACACAAGACACAGCGACATCAACTCGGTTGAGGTCTGAAGTACACGGTTATGTCCACGTCCTTTCCGGTCTCTTTTTTTTCATTTTGGGTATCAAGGAAGAGCAATCGGCTATGGACGGTGCTGTGATTTACCCATTTTCAGGCTACGCAACACTACCGAATTTCTCAATATTCATGAATCAGTTTTTAAAACTTCGTGTTTTCGCCGGTCAAATCAACGCACTGATGAGTTTAAATCTGTTAATTTCATTGGCTATCACTTTGTCTCATTTTATTGGATGTTTTTTTGCCTCAGCTCAAAGTTTTTCGTTCGAATAGATTTTGCAAGATATGCATTATTACGCGAAAAATAATTGGTGTCATAATAATTCACATCTTTTAATGCAGCGATTTTGGGAGACATTTGTGAAAGTTGTACCGCTTTAACAGCTCGGCACCGTTCAGCTGCAAAACGCACAGTTAATTTTGTCTTTATGGCATCTACGCTCACAAGTTGATGTTAAGATGTCACGAAATTGTCCATTACTAAAAAAGAAGCTTTCTCACACAAATACCGGTCTTTTATGTTCGTGAAACCACCAAATTTTTTTGGCATACATCGTGTAAATTTGGACCGTGGCCAGTTGAACGCTCTTCTTTGCATTTCCGATTGCTTTACCTAAAACACCCCACAAAACCCCAGTGGAGTCAGAGGAAGCCATGAATACTTTATTTGTCTCCGCGCGGAAAGGCATTCTCCGAAACTGATTAATTCCTAGTCCCATTTGTCAATGTACAGTTGTTTTTTGAAAACTTAACATAGTTGTACTTCGTTTGTATCTGAGAGGAAATGGTCAATGATTTTTTTACAAATATGGAATCTTATGTCTACTGTGAGGTGGAGCAGCCTTGTTTGTTTGCCAAGGCCCCAACTCTCCTCCTCTCGGTAACCAGATAGATCCAAGCAGGTGGTGCATTTCGTACTGTTGAGGCGCAATCTAGACACGCGACCAGACAGTTGGCATAGGGTCTCTCCGCGTGAGCTTGTCTATCGACGGAAGCGATCGCCATAATCTCGTCTTGATCACTAACACCTTCCTGTTGCGGCGCATCGTCGTCGACTTTGATTGGCTGAGAGGAATTGATTATCTCATTGACCCAGCAGAGCACTGCCAATGGGAGTTGACTGCGATGGAAGAACTTGGTTGCCTTTGCGTGTGTCCGCTTGAACATCTTCGGCGGCCAACAGCTCGAGATGCTCCACATTCGATAGTTGGTGACGTATTCCAGGTAGTTGTTGGGATCAATTTCAGAGACCGCATTCAGCGCTAGGTGGTCGTTGGTGGGAGAGAAAAGACATAAGGCAACTTGGCTGTCCTCGAGATAGACCTCGTGGATGAGGTGTGGGTGAAACGGTGCACGTGAAGCGATCCATCGATCCCATGTCGAGGCGCTTTTAGTGCCACCCTCGTCTGTAGAATTCCCGGCTTCTAGGCATTCTTTCCTTGAAACACACAAGTAGGTGGATCTGGTGGTGTCAAAAAGACTTAAAAATTGACTATTCAAGCTCTGCAGGAATTCTTTAGAGCCACCAAGGACGCAGATGCGATCGATGTCGTGGGAGGTGAAGCAGATGGGCATTATGAAGTCAATGAGTTGAGCAGGAGCTGAGTCATCGTCGGCACCACCCAATGGGAGCTCGTTTACTTCCAGATCGACCAATTTCTCCTCGGCTCCAGGTGTCTGAAAGAACAGACGCACACGATAGGAGGTACCTTAACGCTTACAGATAAAAACGCAGAATTTTTAGAGAAAATCATTTTTGCACTAAAAGAATTTGAGCATTTAGTGATATAAATTACCAGAAAAAGAGTTGGAAACTCTTAGTTTGACCAAAAAATTACTTTCTGGTAAAACAAAGCACGCGGGCCATTTTGAGAGGTTGAATACCACCACGTAAAGTCAAACCGGATCGCCCTAGTGGTTGATCGTTTGATTTCACATTACTTTCGTTAAATTCTCACGATTCTGCCACTCAAAACGCAATTTATTAAGATAATTTAACTGGAATTTGGTTAAAAAGTAAGCAGGTAATACAGTGACTTGACGAATTCACTGGACTATTCTTGAATTCACGCTTGATTGATTGTGAAGTGGCACAAATTCAGAAATCCGGCAAAATTACCAAAATTTCGACGAAAAAAATGCTCTTTTTTTCACTCAATTAAAATAAAATAAAGTAAACTCGTAACGAATTCAGCATAAAAACTGGCAACTAAACCAATTTGAGGAAAACGCTTGCCAGCACCGAACTCATTCACTCAAAATTCTATCACCGTATTCCTATATTCAATGCGAAATAAAGTATTTATGATCCAAAAGCGACTGAAGCATTGGAAATGACTAATCTACCTATTTTTTTTAAAAAAAGGATATCAGTGCTCAATAAGCGGACAAGCATTGTCTTAGCAGCCTCTGTGTCCAGTCGGCTCCCGAAACAATAAGCTTGCTTTCTGCTTTTCGAGACAGAATATTCCTTAATTGTCTTAAGTGCGCTACGGAGGAAGACATTCCGTGTGTGTCCGTTTTTTTTTCATGTGATTCGGAGATTGGGAATAGATAATTGCTGTTTACGCAGTGCAATTCGTTAGCGTCAGACGCTGCGTCAAGAGTTTGCAGGCAGAAGTGAACCATGGCCATCATGGGGTTGCATGAGGTAATTTGTACATTTATCTACCAAATTCGTGGTCGTAGTGCTGATTTTAAAGTCGAAAATTCACCACGGTTAAATAAAATGGCAACTTTTGTTAAATTCTGTGGGAGTAAAACAAGTTACTTGCACATTTAAAATCTTAGAATCTTTTTTTGCATCAATAAGAAGGAAAAATCATTTTAACAACTTTAACGATGAGACGGTTTCTTGTTGGCGACACTTTTTGACATTGTAGTTTCAAAGTTTTTTCAAAGTGTAATTCTTTGTGAAAATTTTACAATGCAGTTCAGTTATTTAATACTGTGATAAAGGATACGTAGACACGTATTTGTTAAAAACTTAAAATTCATCCTGGATAATTGCCGTAAAAGAATCTGAAATAAATATAAACTTTTGAACTGACGACTTTCAACGCTACGATTCAGTTTTGTGCATTTTCTTCCTAAAATCGTGCAGTCGTGTTGGCCTATGACACCAAAACTTGTCCCGTCTGTAAACTCAATAAGTAATTTTCGAAATTTACTACCAAACATTTTCCGCCAATGAGGATGCTTATAACCGATCCGCTGTTTTAAGCAACGTCGAAATTAATAATTTACAATTACGAATTTCTGAACAGTTACAAAAACGGTAAATTATGCTGGAGCACCATTCGGCCAGCGACGAGACTGCATTAACTAATTGAAAAAGTCGTTTGTTTACCGGTAAACGAGTCAGACAAATAATTGTCGAGATTATTCCTCACAAAACCTTGAAGTAAACGCGAAATTTTTTTAAGCCAGCACTCAAACTAGCAGACATCGACCACATGCAGAACATGTGGCGGTGTATTGTGAGTATTTTGGAGGAAATAAGAACACAGCGCTTTGTTTTGTTAAACATCGAGTCGGCAAACAGCAAAAAAGCTGCCGGCTGGATGTTATCTGCAAGGAAAACCACGACGTATTTTTGCAGTCAGACATATCTGTCCCAATTAATGTAACTCAGAATATAATCATTTATTTAAAAAAATGTTCCAAAAACTAAAAATCAATCATTTTTTAGATTTTTAGAAAAGAAACTTCGCGTGGAAGGTCTCTGAGAACAGCAATTCGCTTCGACATGTGCACTATCGACGATGCCTCGTGAAACTGCATGCTACGCAAAATGTCAGCGTGGAGGTAAATAATTATTTATTAAAAAGTACATCTTCACTGGCGATTAACTTAAGCACTTATTGGCTAATTGTTAAAGTTCACGCACATTTTCAATTCCAGCAACACTGCTGCAGGAATTTTTAGCTTTCTTAAATTCGTCTTTGCGGAAACTGCGCAGTTTTTCTTATCAAAGGAATCGTACATCTGAATCAAAAAATTGTCCTTTGAGCTCTCTCTTCGAGAGGAGAAAACTGATGGCCATCTTAAATGACACGGTTAGGGACGTTTTGAAGTTATCCGTTTCAAATCCCCAACTTGTGATCTAGCGTTGTCATGGTGAAAGCCAGTGGCTTTTGTTTGACCGCAAACTTCACGTTTTGCTTGGGTTTAAACACTGAATTGGATGTGCACAATTTGCAGTTGGCCAAATTTAACCATCCTCTCTACCAAAATGAACGCAAGCACGATACGATCTAACTGTTTTTTTGCTGTTTTAGCATTTTTTTGCTGTTTGCATTCGCTCAGTGTCTCAACCTCCGAAGAGGCTGGAATTCGCCTGCCAAAATCGAAATGTTACAGGCCGATTGACGCCAGAATAGACCAAGCAAACTACTTTTGATGATGAAAAAATTCCACACCTTTGACTCTTAACCTCTAAATTCCTTTAGACATGAGTTACGTAAAATTACAAGTGCTTTATGTATTGCCTGAGGCTGTTATTCATGCTCTAGAGCATTTAACGTGTAAAAAACCCGATTATTGTTAGCAACATTCACAAATAAATCGCAAAATGTAGAAGATATCATTTTTTTAATCTTTTAAGCGTTGGAAAATTATTTCTGTAAGAACATATGCTATTTTTCGGTAAAAATGAGCTCATATTTCTACTAGAGCCTCTAAATGAGCATTTTTCTTAAAAAAGACTGCTTGAAATTTGGTCGAATTGAAGCAGTTTAAACCTACCAATTCCTTCTCAAAAATCAATAATCCTTTGTCATAGGGGCTGGTGTAGACATTCATGAAAGCCGCCAGTTTCCAGCCAATTAGAGATAGAACGCCCACGAACCGGCTTAGCATGTACTGCGAGGCGAAGAAGTTGTCTTTATTCCACTCCGGGATGCACCAGGGCGTACCACTGAGCTTGACCTCCGTGTACTTAAACTCCTTCACCCCCGCCTCCCCCGCTGAGCCCCCCTTGTGCACCACCGAAATCCGCTTCTCATTGGCCACGCCGGAGAGCCACAGCTGCTGCAGCAGGTGGGACACCCACGTGCAGAATACTGCGGTGCCACCGTAGACGCGGAAGGTGTCTTGGTGGCAGAGGGAGAAGCAGGCGCGTGCGACGGTGTTCGTCGACGCGGGTGTGGACTTGGGTCTGCGGAAGAACAGCGTGTCCAGCAGACCACGGAAGTTTGCTCTGCTGACGAACTCGTAGCCGCTCTGGTCGAGTTTGCTGAAGAGCCGGAGAATCAGGTAGGGCGTTAGGTCGGAGTGCTCCTTGTACGAGTCCCAGGGGTGTCCCTCAAGCTCCACTAGAAAGGAGCTACACGTGTCAAGCGAGTTCACCACGTTCAGCATCCTCTTGTCGTTGCTGTCTCGCTGAGAAGAGAAATCGTTGACCTGACGGTAAGCGATTCGACCTGGCCATACCTGGAATGATTAATTAAAAGCGAATATAGCAGAATCAGTAATATGAGCACTCAGTTCAAGCAAAAACGACATACTACTGAAATCAACTTTGTTTGCTGGTTAAATTCAGGTGTTATAACACTTCGAAACAGGCTAAAAAGGCGGCTTGATTACAGTTTTTACTAACGTAGCTTGAAACTCGAATAGGCCGACTTCAGATAAGATGGCAGTCGTAATCTTAAATTACTCTTAATCACCTTGAACAACATGAATCTTATTGGTTTGTAAATGGCTAATCAAAAAACAAAGAAAAATATTTGATGGAAATCACAGCCTCTAAATGTTTTGCAATAGAAGATTGGAGTTGATAGTTTGTATTTGTCTGTGCACTTTTTTTAAATTACTGGATTTTAATTGGCTACTGGAGTTTGTGGCTGTAAACTACAAATAACGAAGCAGATAATGTTTTAGTGACTACTCAAATCGCTGCTGCTTTGTACTAATTTGACTTAGTGTTCAGTTTGATGCTTGCTGAGTTCCATTTAATGACATTAAAAGACGTCAATTTCCTTTTTTACATAAGTTTTAATTTTCATCGGAATCTTACAGGTTTGCAACTGACCAATCAAAGATCAGGCAAAAATTTCTGACCATTCAAAATAGAAATCTTAAGTTTCGAGGGAAATCGCCACTTCCAAATACGTATTTGAAATAAGATTTAAGTTGATAATATAGTATTTATGGACACAGTTTTGGTTTGTGCCATTGCAGATTAATTCTGTGCTTTTTGAATTTGCTGGTTTCTCATTGGCTGCGAGAAATATATGTCCACGATGCCCAAATAACACGATAGTTCCGGTTTTAGTGATAAACTTTTTGCAGCTTTTTACAAATAATAAGACTTTATGTACACTTCGATATGGGCTGGGTTCTATTCAGTGGTAGAATGAAGATAATCGCTTTGTCAAATCAGTTAAAAATTTCCTCGCACGTCATGATACATGCTGGTTTGTAAATAGCCAATCAAATGACAGACAAAAAATTGACGAATATTTGAAATTTTTAGCTTTGCATGTTTAGTTGCATGGAAATGAAATCGAAAATTTGGCGTTTAAAAGCCCAACAACCATTTATGCCCTCCAAATCAAATTAAGTGCTTTATGAATTTGCTGGAATCTGATTGGCTACTGCAGTTTTTGTCTTCAAAAAACAAAAATGACGCGTTAGCTCTAGTGGAAATTGTTTTTAAAATCTCATATGCTATTTACAACTTTTGGCGCAGGTTTTCGGGCCAAGAATTTCATTTGCACACTACAGGACGTGAATGGCACGCAGTTTCACATGCACAGTCGCTTGAACCAGCCAAAATACCGACGACGTTGATTGGGTCATGGACGCTGGGATAAATCACACGATCGATGTTAACCTGGGGGCGATGCGCGGTCCCCTTACACAGCTACGATGAACTCACGCAAACCGGGTGTGATTGAAGTCGCGAACGGGTCGAAGCATCACTCAACTGGTCCCTTAATCATCACACCAATTTGCAGAAGTCGCAAATATTTGCACACTCTACAAAATATCATGGAAACCACCGATTAGTATTCGTAGGTTAGGCCATAAATTTCTGAACTCCTGGTAGACGGGTTGCTAGGATTCCGTTTCTGTCACAAATGGTCGATTTTTAGAGTTTGCGTGATCCTATTTAGGTCGAATCTAAGCTCAAAAGGAGAATTTTCCCTAATTCCGCAATAATTTGCACCCACATGTTAGCACAGTTACCATTTATAGCGTAGTCAGGACGGTATTTGTACGGAAAAGGTCATTATCTGTTGATTAGTAAATTAACCACAAATCTGGCAGTCTTTGACCCTACCTAGGCCCCAAAACTTGCACATAAAATGCCTCACCCAATCTATTTATGCTCCCTTTTTACAGATGCAAAACATTTTTGATTATATGATACTCCAAGCGCACCATTTGTTTGATATTTGTATCGACCGCCTCGCAGGTTATGGGTTAACTCTTTTTTACCCACCTTGTTCAGTCAAGGTCGCAAAAAAGGACGCATTTTTCATGGGTTACTGGCTAAGTCAGTTACGTGAAAAGGCCCTAATCCGCTTAAGTTCACAATTTTCCCCAAATCTGAACGCTTTTATCAAAGCGTTTTGGCCAACTCGCGCTTGTTTAACTTAATGCGGCAGCAGCGCGCCCTGTGAACTGGGTGTACGATAAGTGGTGTGGCCAAACACATTCGAATAGTCAGTATTTCTTGCCAGTTTGGTTGGCGCAATATCGCACTTTTTCAGCTACACACGAGCTAAACAAGCAAGCACTTCCCGTTTGCGCCTAAAATCGTATCCATGCCAAACCCCCACACCAAAAGTGCATTTTCCAAGGAGCCAGGCGAGCGTTTGTGCACAGTTGGTACAGATAACTCGAAAAAGAAATGATTTTGCTTGCAAGAAATGTTTTTTTAATCAAAATCTCATCTAAATCCAGCGAGTGCATGAGATTTCTGAGGTGATTTACTGCACTTAATTTTACAAAAATTACATATTTATCTTAAACTTGTGCAAAAAGTAGAAGAAAAGGACTCGATTTGTAGAAAAAAAGTAACATTTTCTGTGGAAATGTCGGCGATAATGTTGACACACAGAACAACGACAGAACAATTAAAATTAGCGTTTTTAAACAATACCAGTAAATTTAATATTTTACAATTAATTTTGCAGTCAAATAATGGTGAAAGTGCAAATACTTTTACGGATTTCTGTCCAGTTTTTGTGTGAACTGAGGTTGATTCGCTGCATAAAAGTAGACGTCTGATTAGTCTAAGTGGAAAACTGCTCGACCGGAAATGTGTGAGAAGTTGTGCTGATTTCCCATTTCCGATCTCGACTGAGCAAAGGTTTTACGACGCCACAGGTCTATTTTTAGCAAAAGTTAACACAAATCCTTGAAAACTAAACTCTGCATTTTAAAAAAAGCGCCAAAAAATTTGAGTGGCTAATGGATGAGTTTTAGGTTTCGGCAAGTCGATTCCAATCACAGCTGTGAATTTAAACAATTGAATTCTGCAATTTAAACGCCATTTGTACCAAAACCGACATCTATCTACTAATTATGCAGATCAGCGCGTTCACCGGAAGAAATTTGAGAATGAAATGGACAATTTTGAAATCGAAATGCTCAAGTTCCTTTGGTGCAAAAAAACCAGTAAATATCCCGTTTACTTTAGTGATTCAGTGGTCCCTTTTAACTTATATACAATAGTAATGCAACAGGTTTTATTACTGCAAATTCTGTCTAGTATTCATGCAAAATCACTTGATTACATAGAAACCAAACTGCGTATAAAAAGCAGGAAACAATGTTACAGGACCCACCGTTTGCAGTTCATCAACTAATTCCGTCAGTAATTCCAAAGAAATGTTGACAATGTAGAACTTATTCCAGCCTTCCAGACCCACGGCCATCATATTCCTGGCAAAACCAAAGTCCAACTTCTTGGAAATCTTGCGGATCGAGGCTTTCGGTCTGTAGGTTTGAGAATTGCCCATAAGTCTATTCAGGCTGGCACTCTGATGATGATTATTTTTGCGTCGAAATAAGCACGTGCTAGCTTCCGTGCCACGAACGTAGTGTCCAGCTGAGACCATGTCGTAGTGCATAGAATGGAGGTAGGCGACTAGGATCAGGATGAACCGGTAGGCGCGATCTGCTTCAACCGAAGGCTGGTGGATGGGTGAGGCTGTGAAGGGTGAGGAAGGGATCCGGAAAACAGTATTCCTTAGAGCCGGATGGGCGTCTCCATCGCCCTTTGCGTGGTTTCGCTCTGGGGCGTTGCATTGGCGCTCCTGGTGGTCGAGGTGGGGCCAAATGTTAGCAAGGAGGCATCGAATGAAATCGGAGAGATGCTGAGGTGCCTGACACAGCCATAGCTCATCCGACGGTCGAAAAGTCACTGCAATGTAGTTGGGCGGAAAGGGAGTCAGGAAGGAGTACGAACTACCCATTCTTCATCAACTGCCGCCAGCCATCCCTCGAGAGATATATCTGCAATAGTAAGAAATGGCGAAAAATCAGAAGATTTGATTGGAAGGCGAGTGGGAAGCAACGTCGGTTGTTTCCCAATTAAAATCGCTAAATTAAATTACTGACATATTTAATCATGAAAGAATTCTCATTACCTAATTCCACCTTTTTTTCTTACAGCCAATCTGATTTGAGCGTGCATGATTGTGCGGCGGTCTTACCTTAGAGCAGGCACACTTTTTTCTAGTAAATGGTAATTATGGTATTCGAAGCTCCTTATTAAGGAACCTGGCCGTGTGGCTGACCAATTGGTGAAAATAACCAATGAAAACCACCCGACGTAATTGCCCGGCCAACCAATGAGATTCGTCCACACATCCACATGACAATGAGGTTGTGTGATATTTAGCGTTTGTAGTTTAATTTCTATTCCGGAAATGGGACTGTCTGGGATGGAGTTATAAATCCCTACGTAGTGAAAATATTTTTAATTAAAAGTAGTACATTTTGCATAATCCAACTTCGTTTGTTTTGCTTTAATCTGTGCTGCATGTTTAAGCGATAAATGCGATTTAGAATTAGTCGTTTGTATGGCATCTAAATTTGTCGCCATGTTACTAATTTTTGGTGTAATTGTTTGCGCAAACCACATATCTAAAAGAAACGTAAAATATTTTACTTGTGTGCTCAATACTTCTACAAAGACGGCAATATTCTTGTTCGGAACAAAATGATCTTGTTAACCTCGCAAACGGAAGCTGGATTGAATATGATTGGATAGAAATAGCAATTAGATTGACGAATGAGAACTAAAATTATGCCAGTATTTAAGCTGATAATTTGTTTTAATATTACTTAATTACATACATCTGTGACTAATCGTATTGTCGTTACACAAGTAAAACGCAACATAAGCACAATCAAGAACTTGAAAAGATTTTTGAAGTGTTTAAACGTGTGGGTCAAATACAATTGTTGGTAGTCGGTTAGATAACTTTATTTTTTTTTTGACCTTGGAAACGTAAAAATTGTCCAAGATCTGGTTTTAACTAGCTTGTAAATAAAAATACTTTAACATTTCGAAAAAAATTGACAAATAAACGTTATCTGGTTTGGGTAAAAATTTCACTCCACTAAAATGGTCTTTTTTTCCAGGACATATCCATTATTTTGTATAAAACATTTTTCGATGGCTAAGCAAATAATGGCGCATTTTGTTAGCAAGGGAGTCGGTTAGGTTCGAAAATTTATACCATCTGTTGGCCTTGTAAATTCCCACGCATTCATCACGGGAAAAAACATATATTTGGCCGGCTAGGTCAAATTTGGGACGACAGGAATAATTACCAGGCAAAAATAAACACAGCGAGCCTACTTAAAAAGTTCCCAGCTAAATGCCTACAAATTGAAAACGCTTTTCAGTCTAAACGGGAGCAGCTGCGTGCACAAATGAGGGACTGCACATGATCCGAGGTCTAAGAATTCAGCACAAGATCACTGCGCTGATAAGTAGATGTCGATTAGAAGAAACTAGCCGAGCTTAAATGCAAAAAACCTTCCACAATTAATGTTTTTTGGCTGGACAAACGTGATGTCTTCATGAAAAGTCAAGCCTGCAAGATTTATCTTTATAGATAAATATCTTCTTGGCGCCATCCCGAAAACTAGAAATAGGACATCACTTACTGGACAAGGCGGTTTCAAGGTTAGCGGTTAATTTTAAAAAAAAGAGGGAATTTTGTAGGAGCTCACAGTAATGCAATATCAAAAAATTAAAAAACCAGCGAATTGCGTTCAGGACGTTTTCATTAATTTGCACTTTTTCTTGCAAAATTAATGAAACCACCTTAATTTAAAGTTTTTTGATTAAGTAGAAAAAAAAGTCCAATTTCCCAGAGATGGAATATTATTTCCCACTACTACAACTCTTTTCTGTAAATTTAATTAAATTCATTTAATTATTTACACCGAATTCTGTTTTCCTTGTATATTCCTAATTACATTTTGGATTACCAATAGGGGATGACCTCAAAAGGTAACCAATGTATGTTCGATAACCTAAAATTGTGCTTTGAATGCGCCTCTGCCAAAATTTATTATGTCAACCTTATTTATCAGAAATTTAATTTATTTTTGAAAAAAAAGGGAAACCAGCTGTGAGATTAATAAATAAAATTAAAGTTTTCAACAATATTGGAGTAACTTTTTGGCGTACGAATTAATTTGCACGGATTTTTCGGTCAAGTTTATTAAATATAAAAGTTTGCAATAACGCACACCATCAATGTGCCACCAGATCCACAGGAGAACCTTCTTCAAGTGGACGTCCTGTCTCGGCGTCGATATACTAGGCCTGCCTGGGACTCACCCACGTTTGCGATTCTCGTAAAAATACAGTTTTTATCATCTGCCACGGTCTTCCACAAGAAGTTCATTTTTTTGTTGCCAGCGCGCATCTGTGAATGGCAAGTGTTCATACGCTGACATGGGCTGTGTTCGGCAAGACATGTGGGACACTACTTCCAAGTTTTTGAATTTCTCCCATTCGGTGAAAATGTTTACTAACCGATGATTGGTTGACTCTCAACTGAGCTGCAAGTTTTTTTTGCGTTTGCCCTCAGTTTTCATCCAGTAGAGCTTGCAATATTAATCTTTCGAGGCTGTCCGAGATGTGGCTGATCAACAAGATCGAAATCAAGGCTTCTTAAATATTTGTATTTATAATTACACGTTTTGAGACAAAATGCTTTAATCTACACACAGAGAACTACGTGTTGATTCCCGTGCTTTCGAATCACTTGTCCCTTGGTGGTGTGGCGAGCAGCAGGTGAGCACAGTTAGCAAGTGTAAGCGAACTCGATTCAATCGATTTTCGTGAATCGATTTTCGTGAATGCACTTCAGGCAACTTTGCTCGTTCAGGGATCGATACTCACCAGAGCTATATAAACGCACTCGTTATCCTGTACAAAGCACACTCCACTACTGTTTTAATAAATTGGCTGACCTACGCGCCATCAGCATTATCTTCCATTCCTCTTTCGGTCGGACCGTGTCAACGTAGATTGTCGGCCCTGGTGTGGTTTCTAAGACCGCACCGGGGCCCGTTACAGTGGAATTCACATAAAATGCCGAATAAGCTGTTTGTCAGTTGCCATTGTAAACTCACTTTGCTATTCTGAGTGGTTATATTACTCACGTAGTGTTCTGAAGCCTTGCGTCAGATCCACTCAAGGCCTCTAAAGACCGCAAAAGTACATTTATTTAAAACAAAATGTGCATAAATTAAGTCATAAACCAGTTTTACCGATCGGGCTCCAAAGACGTGATTTGGAGCTGCCCGTGGTAAAATTTATGCCATCATGATAGGTTAGAAATAAAATGATTTGGTTAAATTTTGTCCTGGTTGACTGCACAAGCAACAAACAGGTGTAATTTTGAACACCCAGTACCTCTTATCTGCGTTCTTGTTACAGGCACGCGAACTTCCCTACAGAACACAAGAACCACGCATAAATCGGTACACTTGTGGAGGAATAGTGACAAGCAAGCAGATTCCGGTCCTCACCTGCAACCATGGTTTAAAAATGTTGACTTAAACTGCGTCGACAACTATTAGCCTACTTGAGCGATTAACCGACTTTACTTGCATGCCTTTTGAGAATTAAAAAGTATTGGGATAGTTGGATTTCTGGTTGTGGCGAATTAGGTCGGTTTATAAAAACCTTGTAGATTTGTGTCCTCAAAATGAACATTGCAAATAGGTGGTTTCAATACTGCTAATTTCTGTTAAATTTTAACTCCATAAATATTTTCTGAAAAATAAGTAAATGAGGGAATTGTTGTGACAACTGGCGATATTTATAGTGAAACTGGTTAGAAAGGAAATAATTTCACGTGATTTGACCTTTTAAATTCTTCCAATGTAACTGCATTGATCCGTCTTCTTTTTACCATGAGGAAAAACTTTTTTCACACCTTTAATTGTGAATAATTATAAAGTTTGTTGTGGAATTGTTTATACAGCTAATGCCTGATAAAACTAGACAAAGCAATCGTGAAGGAAAAGTTGATTAAAAATACCATTACCTCGTAAAGCATGCAAGTAGTGGACAAACCAATTCAGCCACCTCTTCCTATTAGGATGAGACTGCACGAAATAACCCCTGCTTTTCTGATTGGCTGAACGATGATAAAAATGATGCAGCTGTTTTTAATTCTCAAAACCACAACGCGACTTCTTAAAGTCGAATATTTAGGGTATTAATAAGTAGTATTTGATAATCTAAAGTTGAAGGTCATGCTTACTGTCAGAGCAGTTTAATTCGTCAGCGGATGGGTCATGCCAGTATCGTACCTTACAGCCATTGGTTAATCGTTGTTGCAACATTTGATTAACCAATGGCCGCAGTGTCATGTTCCTGTTAACTGTAAAATTGCAGAACTTACACTTTTGTAAATTGTGTTCAGGCCTTTTTCGTGTTTCACATTAAATTTCATATTCTCTAATTTGTTCAATTAACCCGCGAATTGGTGCTCCCAGTGCCACGCCGTGCGATCATTGGTTAATTAGCTTGTAAACATTTGATTGGTCCGATTTTTTTACGTGAAAGATTCCTGTTCTTGCCTCCTGATAATAACTTGGCTATATCCTACCAAGCCGATCAAAAGGAAGATGTGCCGATTGTAATAATTAAATGAAAACGTGATTCTATATTTACCTTGTGTGATGTTTGATGGTTGTCCCAATATTGTAGAAATTTGAAATCAATATAGGTTCGGAAAATGCAGTGTTTTGTGTGCGTTTGAGCAGCAGTTTATTTACTCTGTCGAAATGATCTTGTCAGTAACCTTGAGAGTCCAATGAATTGATAAGCTTAAGCCATTATACTACTTGCTTTCATAAATTTAGTATCTTCACAAGAGCCGTGGATGTGGCTTGCTGGATTGCTCTGGGCGGTATTGGCGCTTTTTTAAAGAAAATGTCACAGGAACCTGTTTTACAATTAAGATTTCACCTTTACACCTCTTTTAGTAAATACCATGATTAATTTATCCATTGTTTTAATTCTCATTCTTACCAACCGCTGCTTACAATTTACTCAATGAACGAGCAGTACTCACGATGAACGATATTTTCTGTAATCTTTAAACTTTGCATTCTATTCCAACTGTCCGTCAACTGACTTCGACAAAAGTCGCTGATGAGTTGATCAAGCAAATGAATTGCCATTCCGCAAAACTTAGGATGTTTGGTCGCTGCATTAACCAATCAAAAGACGTGTTTGTGAGCACTCAGGCTGTAGTGGAACCATCTATTTAGGCAAGTGAATTTGTGTAAAGTCGTAAATAATAGTTGTGAAACCATTAAATCACATTCGTTAAATCAATTCATATCATAAATTAATGCACACGCAAATGGTTGAAAAGTGAGCAGACAAACTTGAATATAAACTTAATTGAACCAATCAACAACTCCATCTATTATCCAATCAGATAGGAGTATTAATAACCTGGAATTTAGCCAAACAAGAAGTTATCCGAACCAACACAACTTTGTATTCTAATCACTTGATATTCCACACAACTGTGTTTACTGACGTTAAAATCTTTAATTTATTTTACCAGCAAAGTTAAAATGTTTTCAGTGTCCCCCTCCCTTAGGCCTGACGGTTCCTGTTGGCAAAGAAGATAACAGTGAATTTGGCTACGCGAAAAATTTTAACTCAAGCCGAATGATAAACTGAGGCTGGCCAAAGTATGGTGGTCGATTACATGATTGACAATTCAGTTGAATGGTTCAAACTCACTGAAAGCATCTTAGACTGGATTAGAGGCGTAATTTTTTGGATTCGTCATGAATTAAAACAAATTAATTAAGCGCATCTAATCATGGGAAAGCGATCAGGATTCGAACCGTGAATGCTGCTCAACTTGCCTTAAAGTGACGATCCTGCACGCAGTTTGGTGAGATATTCGAAGAATTAATGTCTAGACTTAGCAAGACCAACCGCCAGTTTTAAATAATCGAAGGCTCATTAACTTGAAGTTCTAATTTTCTAGGAAACTGAATTTAAATTTGGGTGAGTTAATTTAAAATGTGGCGTATTTTTTGGTAAATTCTAACTTGCTGTTATCCAAAATGTAGGGTAATGCAGATACAGAACTTGGTGGGGATAGTAATTTTTACTTAACCTTGAAAGTGTGAATTCGGCGACACCGTATTTGTCCCTTGTTGATACTAAACTCTTAGTTCACCAACTAACTCCTGTAAAATCGATAATTGAATCAGCTCACATTACCAACACGCAAACAACTACGACGCAGATTCTTCATTGGAAGCGTGTAAGATCCTTCTCATTTTCAAGAATTTATGAATTTCCAGAATTTTCGATCACTTTTCAACAACTTACATGAGATTACGATGGGATTACGACTTATTTTGAGCCGAAATTTTTAGACATATCAAAAATATTGTTGACGGTTGTGTATAAGGTGTAAATGCCTTGGGTTTTAAGAACCCTAAAATATTTGTTTTCATTGATCGAATATCGGCAAAGGTAACGCTATAGTTGCCGCTTGAGTAGCAAAGAGACAGAAGCCCAAGAATTTATCACTTCTGTCGCCATCTGCGTACTTGTGACTGAATGGAGCTTGTAATTTGCTAAAAAGAACCCGAAGGGTAAGGCAATGGTGTGAGTTTGTAGAGAACACAGACGGTCTTATTTGTATTTACGTTATGAGCCACAACAAGCTGTTAAAATTTAACAGATTTTCTCTCTTACGCAAGACTTTGTAGCAAGCCACAATATCAAATCTAGATCGGCTTATACTACTTACCGACAGATTAATGCATTAAAACACAAGCGCACTCTAATACAATGAGGCAATGATTCTAATATTAAAAAAAAATTAGGTTAAGTCAATAAATATATAAAATTTCGTAAAATAACATTTATGTTAAAAAATTGCATTTTTCACAAATCCCTAACTCTAGATGATATTCGGACGTCGCAAGTAAAAATCTATCAGGTTGCGTTTTTTAAGCAAAAAAGTTGTCCAAAATCTTTTACAAGGGGCTTGTAACGGAGCGTGTTAATGAATGAAGTAGTTTTACCTGTTTAGTGGTTAAAAATTCTGACAATTGACTAAACAATCACGGAGAACTTCCCTTGTTTGAATTCGCTGCCCGTGAATATTGGCGGGCGATTCTAGTGGAATATTTAATTAATTCCAGACATTTGAAATTTAAAGTATCTGCAGATTTAATTAAACAAAAACTGACGTCGCTCCTGTTGGTTTTTTTAAGCTTCACTAGTTTTGTCCTTCAACTTGGACAAAAGTGCAACCAGTGACCTACTAAAATGTTTTTTTTACCGGTTAATGAACTGCAATACGAATGTGTGTGCTATACGCTGGCTCGCTTTTAAATGTTACACCGAACAGTATATACTAACACTCGAAAGATCTTAGTATTTTTATAGTAAACATTGCTCGGGGAATCAGTGTTTAAGATTTTGACAATATTGCATTTTCAATTATAAAGCGTGTTTAGGCACTAATTTTTTGAATTCAAATCAGCCGCACCCTTCCTATTGGCTCATTCATAATTCGGTGCACCATGACTAGTTTGCACTCAATAACGTGCAAGCCAAATATAACTGGGTGCAGGTGAGTGTGTACTTTGCCTTTGTCTGTAACAGCGAAATTTCTCTGTGTTGCCTTGTTCTGGTTGGAGGAGGCATTGATGCACACGTGTGATTTTATAGTTATAGTGTGAAATAAACGATAACGTATAACAAGAGAGAATCGTAAGGCACCCACAAATGTAATTTTTTTATGTCCACAGTTAGAAAATCCTGGTGACGTCAAGAACAAATAATACCAACCTACATGTACAAACTATTTCGTATTTTGGCTGTCACGGTAAAGGATGTCTACAACAACTTTTCACTTCCGAATTCGTAAATAAACAAAAAAATAAATAGGTCAAAAAATGTCCAACACTTACAATGGAGACGGAGAAAAAGAGTTACTCAGGAAAATGAATTTATCCTTGAAGAACATCATGTGCCCATAGTTTCTGCTGGTTTTTAGCATTCCAATGATAGCTTTTATTAGCGCCTATAAAATAAACTACTAACCGCTGTGCATCTTTGCAACACGGTGAGATTTAATGACCAGTAATCAGGGAAGATGGAAGTGCCATACTATAAGTAATTTTCCTTAATGTTTTATTATCCACAAAGTTAGGCCAGACCTGTTAAAACGCCTTCAAATCCAAGGCTGAGGTCAGCTATTTCCGCAGGAAAATAAAATTAACCATGGAGACAGTCCTATACTATTCTCTTTTAAACATTCACTGAAAGTTTTTGTGTCCGGCCAATCCAGAAACACTTTTTGGGAAAAAAAAAGAAATTTTTGAATTATCAAATCTTTGGTATGGAAAGTAAGTTTGACAAAAAAATGAACAGCTTTTATGTTTAAAGAGCAAAATATGAAAAGATCCTGATCGGACATTTAAATCAAAGGTGTATTATTAGCAGATTTCAGCATAGCAAATAGCGTCCAAGTAACTCAGGATAAAGTACTTATTAATTTATGTTATTTTCAAATAAGTACTATGTTCTTAAAAAATTTACCAAAATCATATGAAATTAATGATGCATTCCGTAGTCGAATGAATACTGGTATAATTAAACGAACGTTTCAATATTAAATAATCAATTTTTTCTAAATTAATGAATCTATTAGCAAAGTACTTACACAGTTTGTGGCAAAGGAAATTTACTTGACTTCTTTGTTACACATAAAAAAGAGCAATAATTACGAATTCCTTGAATGAAACTTAATTGTTCTTAAAAAAGAAGTTTAAGTAATAAAGGAATTCGTCAATGCTACACACATTAGATAATTTTTTTAATCACGCATAAAAAACAAAAAAATCTCAAGTTCCTTCAAATACTAACTATGGCGGATTGCAAAATTATATTCCGTAAAAATATTTTGGAAACATGCCCAAGTTAGCATTATATTGCAAAGTGTGGATTTA